ATTTACAGTTATTACAAAATATTGTCTGTATTCCTCATGTTGGATAATACAGTAGTTTGTATCTCCCACTCCCCACCTCTGTATTGTTCCTCCCCTCCGATTGGTACCCACCAGTTTTTTTCTCTATGTCTGAGTCTGCTTCTTTTTTGTCATATTTACTAGTTTGTTGTATCATGCAGAAATATTTTGAATGAAAACTCAAATAGTAAGTTTAAAAAAGTCTAAATATTAAAGTTACAGATGGAACCTTGCTTTGAACTTGACTGAAGTAACAGAACATTATAACATCTGTGACATTATAACTACTGTTAACTGAACCAAACTTGGGTCCAATCACCCACACACAGCAAAGCCAAACTACTGGTTATGGTGAAGGAAAGTGCAGCGTTTATTGTATTTGCCAATCTTGATCAAAGTGAACTTAAGAAGACCCTTCATTTGAGCTCCTATGCATACTCCTTAAACCAACATCCAAATTGACCAAACCTATAAGGACACGACCTTCCAGGTTCTTGTGATATAGTTTCTGTAAATATTCCGAGGTTCCTTCAGCAAAGACTCTACTTACATAGGGCTGCAGTGCAAATCCTCTAAATCCATTAGAGGTTGGAATTTGTAAAACTACAAAATTCTCTGAAACCAGATACTGTTTTCTTTTTCTTTGCGGAGAAATTGGAGTCCTAGGTAACAGATAGTAAAGCTGTCTACCCCGAGACTCCCTCTGGAGGGAGACATAGTCCACCTTTTATACCAGTTGCCGCCCTCTCATCTTTTACTGCCTCCTTTTCTGCAAGACCGCAGTTTGCTCTCAGCAGCAGCTGCGGCTGCTAACTGAAGTGGCTGTTGGGAGAGAGACCGAGGGAGGCAACATCGCCTGGTCCTGCTCTCTCATTTTCCTGCTTAACTCAACCTGGAGTGTTGGCACCTGTTTTCTCCCTGCGTTCTCCTTGCGCCACACAGGGAAGCCAGTCACTCCGGACTCCCCAAACGTCCAGGCTGGGTGGATTAATAAGTGGTCTGGGTGGAACGGGTTGGGGGGGTGGGGTGGAGTCTGCCCTCTACGTTGACTTTCTGAAAGGTACCGCTAGGGTCTTTTGACAGTGCAACGCCTAGGGTGGGAGGCACAGACGAGGCTTCGGTTACTACACTGCTTACTTGGTTTTCTTCTGGTGATCTGGATTTGTTTCCTCGGCCTCGTCCCCCGCCTCTTCTCTCTCCCCTCCCTTTTTTAGCGAAGTGACACAGGCAACACCTGCTCGCTGGTGTTCGACGTTGGAACTCACACCTTCTCTCGGTGGTGACGGTGCCAGCGTACTGGGGACAGAGGGGCAGCAGCGGTTTTCCTTCGTCCCAGCCCATGATGCCTAGAGGGGCAGTGGTTGGGCTGCGTTGGGGCTCTGGCCGCAGCACTTCAAGGCGGAATTAAGGGGCTGCAGCTGGTCAGGAGTTGCTGCTAAGTGGACTCCGCGCAGTCTCCGAGAGGGTATCCGCTGGGACCTGTCTGCTAAAAGCGGGAACAAGAGCACCTGAACCGGGGAACTCCAGCGTCTTGCGGGCGGAAGTCCGCCGAGCTCAGAGCGTCTCCTCCTTCCTACCCCAGCAACTCCTGCACATTGGAGACCCGGGACCTGGGAGAGCCAGGGAACTGGAGAAATACGTGGCGGAGGCTGCTTTCCTGAAGGTGAACCCTTCATTCCAATTGCCTTTCCCCAGGAGAGCAAAAGGGAGGGCAGGAGAGAGAGAATCGAGGATACGTGTGTGTGAGAGACAGAGACGACGTGTGGCGGGAGGAAAAGTCTTCACTCAGCGTTAAAAAGCAAACAAATCGGAGATGGAATAAGCGGTAATTGCTGCAAGACCGCCTTGATTCTCGCAGTCTAGGAAGCTGAGCGCACCGCGCGCATCGGCGAGGAGAGCTGGCGACCGCGGGAGCTGGCGAGGGCTGCGGGACTTTGGCTTTTCCTTACTAAACAAATCTTTTGATTACTTTGACTTGTGAATAACGAGGGGAGAAAAGGGACGAGCCCTTCGCTAGCTACCTTCCATCCGCTTTAAGGGGATTCCAGTTTGGATGTCAAGAGACTCCTGAACCCTCTTTGGGGGTAGGAGGAAGCACACGCGCGCGCACACACGCACGTTCAGGGCCACACTCACACGCCCTCCACGAGCACACACCACTAGACCTCGGTTCCCTATGCCCCAGAACGGTGACGGCGGATTGGCATCTTGGAAGCGATGCAAGAGCGATAAGGCTGGCGCGGGCCCGCGGAAGCTGCTGGAGCATCGCTAGGTGTTGCCGCCACCAGGAAGCCGGGCTGCAGGTAGGTGCCAGCCTCGCCTCCCGCCGCCCGCCAGCGCTGGGGACTCTGGCGGCCGGTGGAGGACCCGGGGCCCGGAAGCCCTCCCTTCCCGGGGGGTCAGGGGCTATAGGGGGCTCGCCCAGGGAAGGCGAGAGGTGATAGCAGATGCTGGTTGGGCGGCCAGGGTAGCGGCGGGGGTGGAGGGACGCTGAGTGGGGATCAGAGCGAGCGAGGGAGGTTCCGAGAGCGGTGCCCCCCGCCCCATTTCTCCTAACACGTTGAGCGACCTGGCCGAGGATTGAAGTGGGTTTTACTTCGATCCCTCAACCGAACCAACCCCCGTTTGGTAACCATTTTGGACTCCTAATAAGAAGTCGGGGGTCGCGTTCAAAGAAGGATCAATGGGATATGTCAAAGCGCCTTTCTGAAACCCCCACTTTCTGTCCACTTACGATTAGTTAATTCCCGGGCCTGTCTGCAGAGGGTGAATGTTTCAGTGAGGCGATTGATGTCTCCACCTCTAACTGTTTTCATAAAGAATCATCTTGATAAGTTCCAGAGCCTCTTCTGTTTAAAGATTTATTTAGATTTGGTAACGGACGCTTTCCTAGTGAATGAAATAAAGCTTCAGTAAAGGACACTACCGGAGAGCTATTGGAAAAGGATCGTTAACTGAACAGCGTTAACTGAACAGCTTCGAGGAACTGATGGTTTTTCATTTCTTTCTGTATAGATGCCTCCGGAATCTTGTTAATAGTACAGGATTTTCCTGCCCCATTGCTTTTACGTCCCTTCCTCCTTCTCTTCCAAAAGGCCAGGTTCCACCAAGAGGTGTTTTTTTTTAGGTTACTTATCCTCACTTGTCAGTGGGGAATGTGTTTTTGCAGATAACTGCCTTTGCAAAAGGAAAGTTTGAGATCCATCGCCCTATTTCTCCTAGAAATGCAGGCTGAGCTACCTAGACTCCACTTGAAAAGGACGAACTATAGATGTTTGCAGAGCCCCGGGGTAGATGCCAGGCTTTCCTAGTCAGTACTCCACTTCCTGAGCAAGTGTTAAACAATTGCCTGAAGCGTGCAGAATCAAACGTGTAGTCACTATAGTGGCTAGCTAGCCTCTCTTCACCTTGTGCTGGGTGAGTTTGCTAGTGGCAGTAAGAAATGAAAATACCTTCTTTTTGTGAATGTTAAATCCCCTCTGGAATTTTGCAAGCATCCTACTTGAAACAAACAAACAAACAAACAAACAAACCTATATGCAACTTTTGCTCTGAAAAGTACCCCCAAAGCAGTCAGTGTATAAGGGTCTTTTCCTCATGACAGGATGAATTTCAATGACTACTGACTGCATAGTAACTATCTGGTTCCAGTCTTCCCCAACTAGATTGTTTGAGACATCAATATTCAGATTGTTACCAATTAACACTTTGAAACTGCTCTATTAAACAATGTAAGTTAAGACAAATGAGTAATTTAAGATTTCTGTGTAAAGTGCTGAATGACAGTAACTAGTGAAGGAGACTGAAGATACTTCTAAAGCTCTTAAAACCCAAAGCATTGAGATTATTTGTATTTATTCCAGTCTTTCCATGTTTATGCATGTGCTGTCAAACTGGTGAATCTTAGAATTTCAAATTTGGCACCTAAGATCCTTAAAAATGATCAGACACATTTAATTTTCTCTCTTCGTTCTGGATCTCATCCTGGGTCAGTCCTGCATATTGGCCTTTTTAGAGTTCTAATTTTTAGATCCATCAGTAGCCTTTGAAAAGCCAGCAGTAACCACACTGAAGCTAATTTTATTTTCATTTTCTTAATTTTCAATGAAAATTGGGTTGAATTATTTATAGATGTAATACTATGAGAGCAGTGTCCCTACCAACTGAATGCTTAGGGACAGTGACTTTTAAGAAGCAGAACACAGTTTTGGTGTGTTGCTTTATTCAAATTAGGCATTTTTTGACACTAAAATCTTGATTCTGGTCTTTAGTACAGTTTCACTTACTTTAGGATGCTTGAATTTACGTATTTATTTATAGTGCTATGATTGATGTCTCTTAAAGAAGGACCAAAAAACGTTGACATGAAAGCAAACATCTGTAATGCTACAAGTTGTGCTAAAAAGGAACTTAAGGTTTCTCAGGATATGTGATTTTGAATCTGAAAAATATTAGTTATTTTAACAAGGACAAATTGGAGAGTGAAGATTCATTGAGATCCTATGGATCTATGTCAGAAAGGGTGCATATTGCTTGGAGACTGCATTATAGTATTTACTAACCACCAAGTTATAAATGTGATGACACAGCTGTAGAAAGATCTGTTTTTAGACATGGCCACTTTTCCTTTTTAAAAATTTATGAAATGATGAAACTTAGGGGGTGGCAGGAGATTTTATAGAAATTATTTTGTATGTTATCAGAAAATTTTAGTGGTCCTGGATTCTGTATCTTCAATATAGTATTTTAATGATGATCCTTTTACAACATGGTTTTTGAATATTGAAATGTTGAAAGTGCATTTTGGGGTTGATTTCTCGCTAACTGCAGGCTATGGATTACCCTGTACAGGTGGGGTAAGATGTGCCTCTCCAGCTTTTCCCAGGCATTTCTTGTCATGGGCCCTAATACAACTTACTATCAGAGTCTACCTAAGTTCAGCTGTGCCTACAAACTGCTAGGCATTTGCCTCTCTAATGCATGTCCCACACTAGGAATGTTCCTAAGTGTCATCAGCTATTTCTAATATGTTTGAGAAGATGAAACAACCAGAGTGCGAACAGTTCGGTGCCCCTGCTTTTCCTTCTCCAGTATTTTATTAGGGATGCCTCATTAAGTCACATTATTCTGCAGCTGTTTTGTTCATTGAAGATTCAAGTAAAAATAAGAAACTTTACTGTGCAATGCAGTCTTGTTTCCTAGCTGAAAAGCCATAAGTTGAAGTGAAATAAGCATCTAACATAGTTCATTTTGATTTATACCTGATATTTACAAATGCAATTCATCAACCTGTTATTAGTAGGGCTCCTTCAAAACAAAGAGAAGAAATGCACTCACACAGAGTGGTGCTGGATGTGAGGGCCAAACCAGCTGAATCAACCTCCTATCTGGTCCACATACTTGCACAGTATTTCACATGATACATCTTGCTTATGAACTACTGATTTTTTTTTAAATGACATGTAATATGGTGAATTTGCTATTGTGTTGGAAAATTCTTTGGTTCACTTTGTTTTGAAGTACTTGGAGCACATGGAACTATACCACTGGAAGAGGAGGAATAATCTCAATGTGTTACCATAAGTCTTTTTGGAGAACAGTTTTACTTTAGGTTTGGAGTGCAGTCTAAAAATGGGAGATGGAAATGTGAGCCTAGAAAACAGAGGCCTAGAAGTTAGTTTTGGTTTTTAGTTATCATTGACCATTGATTTATTGGGCAATTTTTGAAAAGTCTGATTCTATTTATTTGGCACGGTGATTCAGTGCCCTTGTCAATGAGAAAAAACTAAAAATGCATGTCTTCTGCTTATTTTTTTTTTTGAGTGAAAACCCTGAATTTAATGTGATATTGGGGGGAGCCCCATGCCTCCCTTTTTACCACCCACCCATCCGGCCTGTTGTGAGTTGGGTGAGGGCTGCCCCCAGTCTCCGTCCTGCGGCTCTGGGTGCCATCCTGTACTCAGTCAGCCTCCTGGGCCTGCCTCTCTGTGAATCTCCTTCTCGCGTACTCATACAACAAATTTAAAGAGAATGGTTAGACTTACTGGAGTGTGAAGAAAAACAGTATTTAAATACATTTTTCTTCAATATGGATTTAATCTCTGTATCTATACATATACATGCACATACATACATATGCTTTTAATGGGACCCATGTAAAAGACGGGTTTTGTGTTGAAGAGGGCGAGAATGACTTTAAAAAAAGTCTGCATTTTTAGGTACCTAGTTTTTCACTGTTTTACATGATTTGACCTACAGTGCAACTGTATCCATGGTTTAACAAGGTCATTTATAATTGAGTTTTACTCTTTGAGCCCTTGTTACAGGCAGAATTTTTTCTCTTCAGTTTTTCTTTTGGAGATATTTTTATTCATTAAGCTACAGCTGCAAAAAAAAATCAATTTTGTCCTCTATGTTGGGGTGCTTTGGGATATGTTTATTGACAGCATGACTGGAAATTTCAACACATTTTAAACAGTGAATATATCTGTATGCTGTCTTTATTAAATATGCGCCTCCATAGTCAGAACACAAACCATGCATTATAGTAGAGCACACCGTTCTGGTTTACAAATGGTGTCTACAAAATATCCAGAAACATACTGATACTATACTCTAGATTTGTTAGATTTCCCAAACTCACCCACTTCCAATGTGTATACCGCATGTGTATGTTGAACTTCATCCTGTGCTGGAACTGTAGGCCAGCTAGTCACTGGAATTAGTGAAAATCTAGCCTGTTTAGGCAATTGATTATTAGTACCATTGAAAAATATGACTTCCAGGTTACTTGGAATTCAGATGAGACATGAATATATAAGCTATAAGGAGAGTATTCCGTTTTATTCACAATTATCTATATGAGGTATGAGATTAAGGAATCAGAGCTTATATGCTTATATTACATAAGGTCCTTTTAATCACTTCCTTCAGTCTCCTAAATTACTCCAGAGTACCTGTAATTATTTTATTATTTCCCCTGAATGGCCAGTTAGCAAAGGTGCATCTCCCTTTCCTCTAGCAATAGCACAAACGTACTTATTCAATTAAATTTATATTTATAATGCTCCTTTTACACAGTAGATTTTGGAAACTCCTTACAGAGAGATTGGCTAATGTGAAATTGTTGCCTTCTTAGCAATTATGGTGGTAGGCTGATTTAGTACTTTGACAAAACGGGGACAATCAGTCAAACATGTCTGCTTTGCTCTTTTATCTCCTGTGCCATGGAAAGGTAATTCTTCACATAAAGCCTGAAGAGTGCAAAGTAGCTTTTTGATGAATGCAAGATTTGTTTTACTAA